CCCGGGGCACTTAAATCTGGCTTGATAATTTTTCAGGTAAAATTAAATTTGGTCCCCGTGAGGAGCAGGAACCAACAATTGGTGCAGAAAGATCTTTTGCGCCTTCACTATCTAATATCTTGGCTCGAGCATTGTCTGTGGAGCTGACGTACAACCTGACCACTTCATAATCTTTGGATCTCAATCTGGTTGCAGGCAATGGGACAATAAACGCAACATCATTTCTCAGAACATTGCTTATAATTGAACCTTCTGCACCAGCTCGATGTGTCTCTTTATGTCCATTGAACTGATCACATAAAACAATCTTTCCCTTAACTAAATCACTGTCTAGGCATCCTTCTTCACACATCGTAGCAAGCGATTCCTCACATTTACTTGACGCATTTTTTCCGTATACCAAAGAATAACTTGTTCTGTTAGATGTGAAAGAGTTCACCGAACTCCCAATTAGTGTCCTTCCATTTCCAAGGACAACCTTGTCAATTATTTGGCGATCTGTGCTACTTGCTGCAACTGAAAGTATCCAAGGTGCTACACTTGATACAATACCCAGGGAAGGACCTTGGTTGCCTGCAGATTGTGCGACTAGTATCCCTTTCTGCATTGCATGAAAAGATCCAATTGCTAAGCGTCCCGGTCAAAATCAGAGGCGGCATTGCTTCCAACTGAAATTTTAATGATGTCAACTCCATCGGCAATAGTGTCATCAAAAGCAGCCAAGATCCCGTCCATAGCACACCCATCAGAACCGCAAACTTTATATGCAGCAATTCTCGCTGAGGGAATGCCTCCTCTTGCAGTGCCTTGCGCCATTCCATAAAAACTCACACCCTTTACAGGGTTCCCTGCTGCGGTTGAGGCAGTCTGAGTTCCATGACCAACCTCATCGCTAGCTGTGGACTCAATGTAAAATCGAGCTCCAATGATCTTGTTGTTGCATGTGAATTTTTTGCCTCCTTAGCAAACTCCTTTCCACTTCTTGGGAGCAGGACCAAAACCTTCATTTTTAAAGCTCTCCGTTTCAGGCCAGATTCCACTGTCGATCACACCAATAACAACATCACTTTCAACAGAAAATTTTCGTTTGATCTTCTCATTGGGCCCGATGAAATTCCAAGATCTTGTTGTTTGAAGCTTGTAAGTTGTGCTTGGAAACACAGAGACTACTCCCTTCGTGTTAGCAAGCCTTTTTCTTTCTTGGTCAGTGAGCTTGGCAGCGAATCCATTGAAGCTCCTTTTGTAGCTTCTTATCAAGAAATTTGTAGCAGAGCTGCTCTCTACAACGCTTTCAAGAATACCAATGTGGTGAGACAATGGTGAAAACACCTCATTGTTAGGAAGTGATCCCAGATATACAATATATGGCTTTCTATCTTCCTGATCAACGGCTTCACATGCCGAGTTCCTAGCAAGTAAGAGAATAATGAAGAAAGCATACGAATACAGGAGAGCTCCGTGATTTGCCATTGTTTTTGTTTTGATGATGAAATTCGTAAACGGTGACAACTACTTTATATTGAAATTAGATAGATAATACCTTCTCGTAAGACACTTCTGATACCAGTTTATTCAATGTATGTATTTACTATTTAGTCAATCAATGTATAAATGTATATATTGATTCAATCTATTACATGTATCCAATGTACCTAGTTATTCAATGCACACTACAATTGTATAATATGTATTACATGTATTTTTTATTTATTTATTCTGAATGCATCTTTGTAATTACTAATTACATACACACATCATTTAATTGCCCAAACCTTGTTTTCAAGTTCATGTAGCATGCATTTTGCGATATGTTCGAAGTTCATAGGACAAGACAAAGCTTCCAAATTATAACATCAATAATTTCTACCGTTGCAAGTTCTTTGAATTTGGTATGTTATTTTCAGGCTAATTAACTACACAGAAGTGTACAAAGGTACCAAATAAGGAGAAGAGAAAGCAGATATACTAGCTCTCATCATGACAATAATACTAGAGGGGATCCTATTTCAATATACTAGCTCTCATCATGACAATGGAGAAAGAATAAAAAACCAGGTGAGCTCCGTGCCTTGGCATTGTTTCGATGCTGAAACCACAGCTATTGACGAGTACCTTACAGCAAAATGAAGGACAGAAAATTTTCATCTGCATTAATTTGTATGCAGATTTTACTTCCTTCTACGTTCATATACTAATTTAGCCTTGATCCTGGCCCTAATCATTATTAAAAACGTTGCAAAAAGCCTAGATTTGACTTCTCTTGGTGGCATAAATCTAATCTCCATTAAAGCTGCAGATTTGGTAAGTTATTTCTGTCTGCTAAGTAAAATAAGTGTACAATTTTCTCCCCGTTGATAAAAAAATAAAAACAATAAAAATGAGCAAGGGGACGCAAGGCTTAAAACTATAGTATCTCATATCAACAATTTCGTTTTATTTAATTGACGCATAAAATCTTGTATTTCAAATGCCTTGTAGACAGCTCGAAACAGCTTGAACTTGCACCAAGTTCGACCTATATTCGTATTTCCGACTCGTGAAAGAAACAAACCAAGCAAGACAAGCTTGAACATTCATATTTCCGACTGGTCATGTTCGTGAGATACCAATATAGTCGCCCTATCGTAAGAAGTAAATTGGCTTTCTTTTCTAATACGTGCTATAAACTTCATCTTTGTCGACCTAGCCTCCCACTAAGTTACAAGCATAATAACGAATAAAAAATAAATAATTATGTGATCATTTCAAAAAACTATGGTTGTACTTTTTGCGAATTTTATAGTAAATAGCTCGAAACACCTTTATCTTGGTATCGAGCTTGAATGTTTTAAGCTCACTTGAGCTCGGGTCATACGAGGCTAATTTTATCTAATCTTGAATGAGGATATTTTAGGAAGTTCGGTTAGGTCTAGATAAGAAATGTTTATTTCATTTAAATAAGATGTTCATTGGCTCACTAAGCTTACACTAGTCATTCAAATGTATAGAATAAATCGAAGTTGTACGTACCAAATAACATATTTATAATGAACCATCCATTTATTGATATGTTTGGATAATAACACGATCTTCAATTAGATTGATTCTTATAAGAGTGATCTTCAAATGAAGACTAACAAATTGAACGATTCCGATCGTTGATTTATTCAATCACGATGCATTACTTGCAAATGGGGATATGTTCATCCCCATCATAGGGGATGCAAGTATTATTCATCTCAAAATACTCTTGTTCTTTTGTAAATTCTTCCAAGGAATTTACAAAAGAACAAAAGGGAAACCTAAAATACAAGAAAGGCATTTTCTTGGCTTTTGCAATTCTCATGGAAGCTTCTACAAATGATGCAACATTTTGTAATGTTTGTGTACAAAATCTCACAATAGAACACCCAAGATAAAACCAAGAATTGTTAATCATGTGCTCATCAAACGCCAGAAAGAAATGTTGTCCACATACATCTACCTTAAATCCATAAATCACCGTATGTGACTTATAGCTCAAGCAGTTACGAACATTCACATTTGTAATTGCATGTATAACCTGTATAGAAACCTAGGGTTCTAACTTCTACGGCATCAATTAGAATTATAAGTGTCAACATCAATATTTTCTAGAATTTGGCTGGGCTGTGAAAATAAGTTCGGGAAGAAAAGGGCACGGTGGAAGAGACTAGCCTAAATCGAGACCATGAGCACAGAAAAATTATCTTTTAACTCCGAAAACGTAGCGGTAAATTTTAGGATGCCGGCAAGGTCACCGTCCTTCGCTTTGGTTCCGCTGGAGGAGGGAGGGAGAGAGTAGGAGAAGGAAGGAGGGAAAGGAAAGGAATGAGAGGTAAAGGAGTTCGAGGATCCAAAAGTAGAGATGAGAAAGGGGTAAAGGTTATGTTCAATGTAAAAAGTCACAAGTTCGTCGGCAAGCAAAGTTTGGATGTCCAAAAGCTATATTCTAAATGCCAGCCGACCGAAGAACATAAGGTAAGATGAACTACTCCCATAATTTACAGTTGCACACAGGTCATGAACAAACCTAAAATATAAATGACAATTATGGAATCCAACGAACGAAAAGTAATCATACCTCGGCCAGAAATATATGCAGCAAGAAGCAAACGGGTAAAGAGATTACATAACTAAGACTCCAACAAGCACAATTTTGAAATCAGCATGTCCTAAACAACACAGCAAACACTGACGACAATTAACATGAACCCAACAGAGGAACAAGAACACAAGATCAAGCTCATGATTGAAAAAGGATAGAACGCAACCCTGTTACGAGAGCTCTTATTTAAAATGCAGAGGAAATGAAATGAAAAAAATGCACCAGATCATTCAATTCTCACAGAGATCAGTGAGAACAGATAAGAACCCTCTGTTTGGTATCTTAATATTATCCAGTCTTTCATTGACAGTCTAAGAACAATACTATAGTACTCGTATATCTGCGAGAGTACTGTATACATTTATACAATTTCAAACTCATTCTGTAGCACAACCGAAAATAAGTATGAATTCCTTGTAACTGCATTTCTCCTTTTCTATGGTCTTTCCAATTAGGCAATTACCTACCAATCAGAGACTGCCAAATTAGATATGGCAAATCACAACTTTTATTTCACACCACCCAATATTGATCCCCGCCAAGTACTAAGGAACAGAGGTTCAAATTCCATCAGACATATTCAGGTCAACATATTGATACAACCCTCAAAGATCAGCACATTAAACTACAGATAACACCAAATCATAGAAGTCCTATATATATATCAAGCAATACAAAGAAACACGTATGAACTAGATGAATGTTGTCGAATTCCAAGCAGCAACTTGACTGTAATCACTCACAAAGACCATTACACCAATTCCATACAAGTGAATAAAATGGGAATCCGAACACAAACGCCAAATCCTAATTCTATTTATGTCTAGATCATCATATCAGCAACACATCCACCAAGAAAAATACCCACATAAACATGTAAGCGAAACTCATGGAATGCAAAAGAAATTCAAGAGTGGATAATTAACACATAAATAAATCCAATCTCAATACATTTCATAGTTTTGCAACCCTTTGCAGTGATAGTGGAATACTAATTATTTACATTAGCATTAGGGAGGGCAGAAAGACCTCTCCCCACTGTATAATACAATCAGACGTACCCATACTAATTTGCATTTCGATAATAACCCTATTATTCAAAATGCAGTTCAACGAGTGAATGAACATCCATTCCCTAAAGATGCACAATCAGCCAACCGAAAAAAAAAAAAAAAAAACCACAAATCATTAAGCATTACCATCAACTATTCTCGAGTATTTATTTATGAACAGCGGAGCGTCTAGAGTATGCAGCAAACTGGCATTTGACAATTCAGCAACTGCAATCAGGACATCGAATCAAACCGTTTTCATTGCATTCGGAGCACCTCTTGAGCATTCCTTCATCTTCATCAAACACCTTCCTACTCCCACTGCAATTCACACAAGGCGCGAACCGCGCATCCCCGCAACCTTCGCACACATACCCGGGTTTCCGAGTGGGAATCCCTTGAAGTATTTTCGCCAATTCACCGGTTTCAAACAGCTGTTTGATCACCTCAGCACCTCCCACATACTTTCCCCTTATAAATACTTGTGGCAAACTCACACTCTTCTCACCCAGAACGCTCTGCAACTCTTTTCGATACGCCGAATCCATTGATATGTCTCTCTCATCAACCCAAACCCCAAACCCTCTGAATATCATCCTCACAGCATAACAATCCTCGTATGTCCTCCGAACTCCTCTCAAACTCGTGAAATACACCACTATCCGATCATCGGTGCCTGGCAACCGTATTGACAGGATCCGAAAATCGGGCGCCATGGATTTCGACAAGGCCATTGATTTCGACGGTCGTAGCTTGACCGTCAGGGATTTAGACTCGTCGGGGTTTCGTGACACGGGTTTCTCCGTCTCGAAAAAACTGCAGAGCTTTTTGACCTTCCCTTTGAAGGAGCTGCTGGCGGACCGCACCGTCTCGATGGAATTGTAGAATTTCTTGAAAGAATTGGCCTGGTAATCGATGGAGGCCTGGAAACGGGGCTTTTGGGGGGCATCCATGGGGGTTGGGTACATGCTAAGTGATCGATTGAAGAAGTAGGTGGGTTTGGGCTTACCCGCCAATTCGACCTTATTTTGGAGATCCGCCATCGACCCAGATGAAAACTCGCCGGGATTTGAATCCTTTGATATCTTTACGGGGGGTATTGCAACACTAGGGTTTGAATTCAATTCAAATTCGAATTCGATCGAGAAATGGGCAGAATTGACCGCACAAGTTAGGGCTAATTAGAAATGTCAAAGAAGGAATTGATTATTTTCTGCCAACCGAAGAATCAATGGGTCGATCTGAGGAAAAAAAATATGACCTTGCGGAGGAGGGCGATGGAGGAAAGAGGCGTGTGACGGTGGCGAATGGGAGAGATATAGGTAGGCAGGTAGGAAGAACTAGAAGACGAGGGAAACGGGCGTTTGTTCGGATGTGGGTAATTTGTTGTGTTGTCAAAAGCGACTGTTTCTTTCGTTTATCCTGTTGTGTTTGTTTGTGAGAGAGAAAATGGCTTTTGAAAGAGGGAGAGAGAGAGAAGGGGGGGGGGGGTGGTTGTCTTCAAAGGTAGGCATTTTTATTTTATTATTTTGGTCTTTTATTTATTTTATTTATTTTTTGGTTTTGATTATAACAATGCTAGGCATTTTGATTATGTCTGTTTGGTTAAAAAATATAAAGATTTTATATTTTATAAGATAGAGAGAGGTCCGAAATCATTTGGGTGTCTATGATTTGTTTTAGGGTTCACTTATATATATATATATATATATATATCATGTAAAATCTAATAAATAAAGCGTATTTATACTTTTCATGACATATTTGTTCAACTAAAAATTATTGGTTGGTATAATGACGGTGAGGAAGAGGGTGAAATGCCTTAATGAGTTTTTTAGTCCCAAAAAAGGTAGATTGCAACAACGAAACCATCCAGCTAGTTCCTTTTTGAAAAAGCTAAAAAAATAAAAAAGAAAAAATTATTGGCCACACATTAACAAACAACCGTTAAAAGGTTCGGTTTCTTTCTTTGAAAATTATAGGAAAATAATAAATTACAAACAGATTTTCAAGACACAGTGTTCAAAAGTCTGGCTATATTTATTACAACTAAACTAGAATGGAGAACATGGAAAGATATATAATCAGAAAATACGTTTTATTTGCAGCAATGAAGCCCCATTGATGAACTCCTGATCAAACGAGGACGAGTCTTAGAAGAATTGGACTTCGAACGATGTGAGTACCATCCGTCCACACCAACGACGCAGATACATACGTACGTGATGGTATATCTCTTCCGGAAACTGTCACGTTGAAGGTCTTTTTCTCATTCAAAGACTTGAAGGAAAGAACTTGAGGAACCACCTTGATGTTAACTCCCGGCTTCGAGATGGTCTTTGCCTTGTATGTAGAGTTTGCAAGGCCAACATTTTTAACTGTTCTTTGAAACTGAATCGAAAACGAAGACTCTGTTACAACTTTACCAGCCAGTGAAGGGTAGTTGAGATCCTTGACCTATTTTTTGCCAGTCCTTGCAGGGCAAGGGCGTTTGTCTCCGGAAATAAGTTGAACTTTGGACTCATCCAAGATCGAACAGAGCAACTTAATGTAATCATCCTTAGAAGTTTCGTACACAAGGCCCGGATTTAAAGCTTTTAGAGGATTGATATGCCCAGAACCATATGAAAATACACCGGGCCAGTAGGAACCGTCGGTGCTATTCGCAGGCCCAGCCGTAGTCATGATAGATGATTTGATGGCAGCTGGAGACCAGTTGGGGTGGAATGTCTTGATATACGCAGCGACACCAGCAGCATGCGGGCAAGACATGGAGGTTCCAGATAGGAAACTGTATTTCACATGCCTCCGGTCTTCAACACTCTCTGTGAGAGGAGCAACAGGTGAATATGCAGCCAAAATATCAACCCCCGGGGCAGTTATGTCCGGCTTGATAATTTCAGGTAAAATAAAATTAGGCCCCCGAGAAGAGAAGGAAGCAACAGTAGGTGCGGCAAGATCTTTTATGACCTCACTTTTTAGTAGTTTTGCTCGTGGTTTGCCTGTGGAGTTGACGTAGGACTTGACAACGTCAAAATCTTTGCTGTTAAAACTTGCTGCAGGTAGTGGGACAATGCCAGAAACATCAGGGATGATACTCTCACTTAGTGCACCTATAGCGCCGACTCGACGAACCTCGATACTACCAAAAGCCCATCGACATACCACAATCTTTCCCTTAACTAAATTAGGATCTAGGCAACCTGCATCACAATCCCCGCATTCACTTGACGCATCTTTGGCTTCTATCAACGGAAAACTTGTTCCATTTAATTCAAAAGGGTTCAAAGAATTCCCGACAAGCGTCCTTCCGTTTCCAAGAACCACCTTGTCAATGATGCGACGATCTGTGCTACTTGCTGCAACTGTAAGAATCCATGGTGCTACACTTGATACAGAGCCCTCATAAGGGCCACTATTACCTGCAGACTGTGAGGTTAGTATCCCTTTCTCCAGTGCATGGAAAGCACCGATTGCTATAGCATCCCGATCGAAAGGAGCTGCACTTGTACTTCCAATTGAAATTGTAATGATGTCAACTCCATCAGCAATAGCATCATCAAAAGCAGCCAATATCTTGTTTGTAGCGCACACTTTAGAACCGCAAACTTTATATGTAGCAATTCTAGCGGAGGGAACGCCTCCTGTTGCAGTCCCCGAGCTAGTCCGTAAAAGCTCACACCCTTTACGGGATTTCCTGCTGCGGTTGAGGCAGTATGAGTTCCATGACCAACATCATCTCTAGCTGAGGAACCAACGTAAAACCGAGCTCCAATGATCTTCTTGTTGCAAGTGAAATTTTTGCCTCCTTTGCAAACTCCTTTCCACTTCCTTGGAGCTGGACCAAAGCCTTCATCGCTAAAACTTTCGGATTCAGGCCATATCCCAGTATCGATGACACCAACAATAACATTGCTCTCAACAGTAGGATTTCGTTTGAGCTTCTCATTGAAACCCAAGAATTCCCAAGATCTTGTTGTTTGGAGTTTGTAAGATGTGCTCGGAAACACAGAGACAACTTCCTTCATCTTAGCAAGCCTTTCTCTTTCTCGGTCAGTGAGCTTTGCCGCGAATCCGTTGAAGCTTCTTTTATAGCTTCTTACTAAGAGGTTCGAAGCAGAGCTACTCTCGATAACCTCTTTCGAGAATACCAGTGTGATGAGACAATGGCGAGAACACATCATCCTTAGGAAGTGATCCTAAGTATACAATATATGTCTTTCTATCTCCATGATTGACGGCTTCACACGATAAGCTCACGAGGAGTATGAAAATAATGGACATAGCATAAGAAACCAGGAGATCCCCGTGCTTTGCCATTGTTTTGTTTCGATGCTGAAGATCGTAACAACTGACGAGTCTTATGTATCAAGGATGAAGGTCAACAAAAATCTTATCTTCATTGGTATCCAGATTTTCTTTCCTTTAAGGATGAATATTTTTCAAACGATTTTATTCCTTGGCCACAATTTCCATGGCATGAAATTAATTTCTTTCCATGCAGGATGAACGAATTCCAAATGTTTAATGCATTTAATTAAGCTTCTATACAATTTTGATTTGTCAACTATGACCAAGAAGAAAGTCAGATTCAACCAATTCTTCGAAATGTTTCATTTTATTGTTGTTTCCAAAAGCCGTATCAATGAATAAATATTCCATTTTAATTAGAATCACATATGATCATATCGTAGGCTTCCAACATGAACAAACTTATCTGAATTGGAGTTGTATGAATTCACGCTCCTCCAAATCCTGTCGTATTGATTGTCAAGATTCTTTTGGTTAAAACTCAAAGTTTTCAAACCCTTTTTCATTAATTTTCCTTACAAAAATTTGATTTATAAATTTGGTCTCCCTACTTTTTTTTTTTTTTTATGTTAGAAACTTCATCATTCCTGCAAACATGGTCATAGTGACTAGCGCAGGTGTACCATAAACGACTGTTGGTAGTCGTGATCAAATGATCTTGCCATAAAATCACACGGGTGCGACCAAAAGGATGGAGAGATCGAGGTAATGGGTGAAAGACATCAAAACAATGTCCTCGGTGAAAGACATCAAAACAATGTCGCATCGATCTCTGCTGGGTTCTTGGCCTAGGTGTTGCCTAGGAGCTAAACGGTAGAATGACACCACAGTTTAGGCCAAAAAGATCAAATGATATTGCCGTAAAATCTCATAGGTGCGATGAAAAGGACGAAGAGACCAAGGTACGGGGTGAACGACATTAAAACGATGTCGTTCTGATCTCTGCTTGGTTCTCGGACTTTGGCTCGGCTCGGCTTAATTGCACAGCTCAAGCGGTGGGGTTTAGTAGCTTACTAGTGGCGCATCTTTTGAGTTTTTACCGCGCTTCAAACTCTCCAGACCTTCTAGTTCAAAAAAGTTTACCAACAGTACAGGAAGCATAGAATGGCAGGCAATGGAAAAAGGAAAATTATCATAACTATAACCAAATCGAATAACAATCCTTATAAGGTTCACACTGATATTCGATCATACAACACATGAAACACGGAAATCAAAGCAAATTTGTAAAAATGCATGCGTACGTGCGAAAGATGGAAATCAATCAAATCAAGCGTAGAAACTCTTGAGTTGACTCCCTTGAATGGAATAAGTTGTCCATGTAGCGTATCAGAAGATCCAATGCAGTAACTGTCCTTTGCATCAAAACAAAAGTCGATGCCTCTGATAAAATAGAATACCAAACAAACTGTGTAACCATCAAATCCAACCCTAAAATACCCATGTACATATAGCATTCATAGTAAATTCATGTTAATTATATATGCTCAATATCTGAACGTAAGAACCTGCAACCGGCCACGGTAGCTACCGCTACCATGAGCAGTCAAACCTATCAATCCCAAATCTCTAGCCTAATGTCAATAGATATGAGCTAGTCTGCTAGAAGCCTGGTTTGGAAGCAGATAATATGACAATGATGAGTTACATACAAGAATAGTCTTACCATCTAATTTTAGCCTTTTCAAGAACAGTGACTTTGTAGGAAGGGTGTGCAGTGCACCCGCAACAGCCTTTCTGGTGGCCCATCCGTGGTAGGGGTAAAAAACTTGTTTATATGCTGTCTTAACCGGATCCATGATTGAATTTCCGCTGCCCACGTAAAAAAGAAATTCAAGTTATAAGTAATTGAATCTGCGATAGTAAAATAACAGCTAGCTGCAAAATTATAGAGACATTAAAAAATTAGAGATAGCAGTCATTGATTTAGGGTTTGTTCTTTTGTGAATAATTAATTCAAAGATTAGTCAATAAATAATTATGTGCCCTAAGTAGAATATTTAAATCATGGTACAATGGATATCACGAGTTTAGAACGAGGAGTTTATGAGCTCGTTTGGAAGTAATTTTAAAATGACTAAAAATGAGTTTGTTGAGAGTACTTTTGAAACCATCCTTAGTAAAAATACAAGTAAATCCCGAAAAAGCATTTGAAGTGCTCCCTACAAATATCACATAATTGATACTTCTTGCAAGAAGCAGTTTAAGTGCTCTTGAAACCCAAAAAAACTTTCATTAAAAGTGATTTCAGTCCATTTTAAAAACTCTTAATTAATATTAAATATTAAAAAAAATTCATGATGAACAGAAATATAAATTAAGTGGATATGAGAAAATAGAACATATGAGTGGACATAGAAGCACACTTAAGATGAAAGTGCATTTGCAAACGAAAATTATTTTAGACATGTTAACGAAACAGTGAATTCAGAGAAGATCGAGGCTAGGTTTGAGATAAGTAAAACCTTGAGGCCATAGTTTGCTCGAATATTATCTTAAACATCTCAAGTGAACGCTTCACTCTGATGAGAATTCTCGAACCACTACTGTGGCGCTTAATGGTATTCTGTTGTATTTCCCGGTCAAGCAAATCTTCTAGGGTATTAACTGACATTCCTGCCTTTTCAATCCCACTAACCTGGCAACCACCACATTAATCAAAATTTAATTAGAAAAAAAAAAAAAAAAAAAAACCAAAGAAACACTCACATCAAAGGGAAGTATATATGAACAAAATCAAAAGAAAAATATAAATAATTAAGATCATCTTTGAAATATGTAAAATGTCTTAGAATGCGTATTATGTAACTTAAAAATATATTTGAAATTCAGTGCAGCTGAATTTCAATATCAAAATTACTCACCCTCACCAGAAGATGTAAAAAAAAAAAAAAATAAGTAATTTTTAGATCTCATGCATAAGAATAATAAGAAATATTTAGGAAGTTATATAATTGAGTTTTTTATTTAGTATTTTTGCCTTCCTTTTATTATTTTAACGCAATGAATAAAAATTCATCACATTAAATTTAAAAAAAAAAATCAATAACAAAAAAAGTTAGATGCATTTCATTTTCATCATGAAATTTATATTCTCCTACTACAGCAAAACATGTCTAGAGTTATAAAATGTTCATTTACATTCTCAATTTTACATCCTTGCACAGGAAGTTGCTCTAAGAAATTAAATTAGCTGAAACCATTAAATCAGCATGTGGTTCAATATCTTAGTGTATATGGTGTTGGGTTTCCACCCATTCTCTCCCTCTCCTAAATTATTGTAATAGTTTAAAACCCTCTCCCTCCCATTAATAATAATAATTTTTTATAAAAAAAATCCATTAAATCAAAAGGAAATATGAGCAAATCAATTATATAGTTGAGGAACACTGAATAAACAATAAGGATGTATATAAAATAAAATTTGGTCCCCTTTTATTGTCGTTATAGTATCTTCTAATTTTATTATTTATTTAAAAATGAGTAACTGATTTAATCATGCGTATATTTCCCATGAGTGAAATGCACCTAAGAAATCAAAGCACTCATCAATCACAATCCACCGAACCCTAAGGAACACCCAAGTTTTACATCAAACTTTTGAAATTTAATTCAAATGTAGAAGACAATGACAAGTTTGCAACCTAAATCTTTCCATCACCAAAAAGCATCAAACTCTCAAGTTTAAGAGATGAATAATACCATATCAGAGTACTCTATGTCGGCGAACTTCATAGCGACGCCTAAGTGTCGAATGAGAGGAGAAACGAGACGACAGGCTTGGGTGAACTTGCCAATTTCCATGGTGATCGGTGCCGGAGAGTTCAGCTGAGCGGCCAGTTGTTCGAACTCATCTGCCAGCCTTGTCAGAATTCTCTCATCTTTCCTTTTCACTACCGTTGCCATTCTATAGCTTCTTTTCACCAAGTCTCTGCCCCTCTCTCAGACACTTTTATTTTATAGCAAAATTTGGAAAACTAACCAAAATTTGGACCCCAAATAAAATTATAACCACCACTTTAAAACCTTAAATTTATGATAATTATAATTAAAAGTTGATACGAAAATATTAATATACCCTTAATCACTAAATTCTACTCTTTTTCTAAAATTATAGCTCGAAAACGGAATAAATTTTAGGAATATATGCTCCTCATATTCTCTTCTTCAAAGAAATTCCTCGTGTCCTTATTTGCAGTGGCAATCCAAAAGAGGAGCCTGGTGCAAATGTTTGCAGGGTTTCTCCATCCTCAGTTAAAATCAAATTAACTTGCCGAAAAGAGAAGTACCTTCTTCATCCGGGTTTTGATTTCGGATTTCCGGATTTTGTTGTAAGTCCTCCTCTTTTCGGCCTGCCGAGCTCTCTTCACAGCAGAGTCGGGCTTCTTCGTGGCGACCTCACAAACAACGGAATGTCGAACCGGCCTCTGAAGTGGGCTCACAGCCACATACCTTGAAAATAGTCAAGAACCTGCACCAACGATTAAAAACAGACGAACACAACATGATTGAAGAACACTGATCGGATTTGGAAACGATCTAATTTTGGGAAAACCGTATAGAAGTTACCTGAGGCACTGAGGAATCGTTTTTTACCAGCTTCGACACGGCCTTCGCCAGAATCGTAGCAAAAAAATTCGGAAAGCGGAGGAACGTAACAGGAATGTAATGCCGAGAAAAGGGAGAGATGGGGGGATTCGATGAAGGGAAAGAAAAGGGCATGGAAACAGAAGGAAAAGCAGTCGAAGCAATCCACGATGATCAACGCGTGTGCGCCTTCACTGTGCAAAGCGGTGATATTTTTCAAAATATCCCACTCTACATTTCAAACTTTTTATATTAAAAAAAAAATACACTTATGAAGAATGTAGAATGAGATTTTTTGGTGTGTGCGCCCTTCCACTGTGCAAAGCGGTGACATTTTTCAAAATATCTCATTCTACACTTCAAACTTTCTATATTAGAAAAGAAAAATACACTTATGAAGAATGTAGAATGAGATTTTTTGGATTATGCGCCCTTCCACTGTGAAAAGCGGTGACATTTTTCAAAATATCTCATTCTACACTTAAACTTTCTATATTAGAAAAGAAAAATACATTTTCGAAGAATGTAGAATGAGATTTTTTTACGTATGCACCCTTCCACTGTGCAAAGCGGTAACATTTTTCAAAATATCTCATTCTGCATTTTAAAATTTTTATATTAGAAAATAAAAATACACTTATGAAAGATGTAGAATGAGATTTTAGGAATGCCAATAATATTTTCATTTCGTAAATAAATTAAAATTTCCAATCTGAACGGCAATGAAGAGGCTGTGGCAATTTTGTAAATAACTCAATATCCACCCCAAGTCAGTGTTCACTTGAACAGTGCAATTGGAATCCATACTTTAGACTAAAGTAATTGCACGGCAGACATGTTGACAGTGTTTTAAAAATAAGTAACGCTAATTACATCAAATTTATAGATCAAATATGCAAATTAAATAATATGTTGTCAATAACAAATAAGCGCGTTAATCAACATTTAAGTTTTTTCAAATGGGATGTCATTTATTTTAAAACTAAAAAATATATAATACAAATTTCTTTTCACAGAGTATAAGGTCCCAAACTCCTTTTACTTGTATCATCCAAGAACGCTTAGTATGTTCAGAATTATTTGTTGATTTTCCATAACACTCATGCCTAGGGACAACCCGACAAATATGTCTTTCAGTTAAGAATTATTTGCCGCACGTTAACATCCAACTTGGTTAAAAAGTGCTGGGGGCTCCATGTTTGCTCTAGTGCTATAGTTTTTGCAGCAAGAGCAATCTGTTTGCCCTACATATCAATTGTGATATATGCCTTAGGCCTCATTCTGTAGTGCGACCCTCGATTCAGTTTTTATTAGTTCTATATTAGGAAGAAGTTGTATTAGGTTGATGTTGTGGATAATGGGGCTGGACTTTTGATCTTTGCATTAAAACAAGAAGCTCCACAAATAAGAAATGCTTCGCATAAATTAATAAAATGTGGTGAGATACTTGCATGTAAGGGAAAATGTGATGCTGAAAATTTAGTAGAATATGAAGCCCCATTATTTTCAGTAGAGTATGAAGCCCCATTGATGAACTCGTGATCAAGAGCTATAGTTGGTGGCGCTTACAAGAATTGGACTTCGAACGCTGTGAGTACCATCCGTCCACACCAACGACGCAGATACACGCGTAAGTAATGGTATACTTCTTCCGAAAACTGTCAGATTGAAGGTCTTTTTCTCATTCAAAGACTTGAAGGAAAGAACTTGAGGCACCACCTTTATGTTAATTCCTGGTTTTGAGATGGTCTTTGCCTTGTAAATGGAGTTTGCATGGCCAACATTTTTAACTGTTCTTTGAAACTGAATCGAAAACGAAGTCTCTGCAAGAATGTTAACAGCCATTGAAGGGTAGTTGAGATCTTTGGCCGATATTTTGTCATTCTTTGCAGGGCAAGGGCGTTTGTCTCCAGAAATAAGTCGAACTTTGGACTCGTCCAAGATCGAGCAGAGCAACTTAATGTAATCATCCTTAGAAGTTTCATACACAAGGCCCGGATTTAAAGCTTTTAGAGGATTGATCTGGCCAGAACCATACGAAAATACACCGGGCGTGTAGGAATCGTCAGTGCCATTCGCAGGCCCAGCCGTAGTCATGATAGATGATTTGATGGCAGCTGGAGACCAGTTGGGGTGGAATGTTTTGATATACGCAGCGACACCAGCAGCATGCGGGCAAGCCATGGAAGTTCCAGATAGGAAACTGTATTTCACGTGCCTCCGGTCTTCAAAGCTCTCTGTGACAGGAGCAACAGGTGAATATGCAGCCAAAATATCAACCCCCGGGGCAGTTATGTCCGGCTTGATAATCTCAAATAAAATACGATTGGGCCCCCGTGAAGAGAAGGAAGCGACAGTAGGTGCGGCAAGATCTTTTATGACTTCACTTTTTAGTAGTTTCGCTCGAGGTTTGCCTGTGGAGTTGACGTAGGACTTGACAACGTCAAAATCCTTGCTTCTAAAACATGCTGCAGGTAGTGGGACAATGGGAGAAACATCGGGTATGGTACTGTCAGTTACAGCACCTATTGCTCCAACTCGACGAGCCTCGATAATGCCTATAGGCCAACGACATACCACAATCTTTCCCTTAACTAAGTTAGGGTCTAGACAACCTTCATAACAATCGCCGCATTCACTCGACGAGTCTTTGCCTTCTATCAAGGGAAAACTTGTTCCATTTAAATCAAAAGCGTTCACAGAATTCCCGACAAGTGTCCTTCCGTTTCCAAGAACAACCTTGTCAATGATGTGACGGTCTATGCTACTTGCTGCAACTGTAAGAATCCATGGTGCTACACTTGATACAGTACCCATATAAGGGCCGTCGTTCCCTGCAGACTGAGAGGTTAGTATCCCTTTCTCCAGTGCATGAAAAGCACCGATTGCTATAGGATCCTGATCGAAAGGGACTGCAATTGAGTCTCCAATTGAAATTGTGATGATGTCAACTCCATCAGCAATTGCATCATCAAAAGCAGCCAATATCTTGTCTGTAGCGCACTCGTTAGAACCGCAAACTTTATATTCAGCAATTCTCGCAGAGGGAACGCCTCCTGTTGCAGTTCCGTGCGCCAGTCCGTAAAAGCTCACACCCTTTACGGGAATTCCTGCTACGGTTGAGGCAGTATGACTTCCATGACCAATCTCATCTCTAGCTGAGGAACCAACGTAAAACCGAGCTCCAATGATCTTCTTGTTGCAAGTGAAATTTTTGCCTCCTTTGCAAACTCCTTTCCACTTCTTTGGAGCTGGACCAAAACCTTCATCGCTAAAACTTTCCGATTCAGGCCATATCCCAGTATCGATGACACCAACAATAACATTGCTCTCGACAGTAGGATTACGCTTGAGTTTCTCATTGAAACGCAAAAACTCCCAAGATCTTGTTGTTTGGAGCTTGTAAGTTGTGCTCGGAAACACAGAGACAACTTCCTTCATCTTAGCAAGCCTTTCTCTTTCTCGGTCGGTGAGTTTGCAGCGAATCCGTTGAAGCTTCTTTTGTAGCTTCTTACCAAGAGATTCGAAGCAGAGCTACTCTCGGTAACCCTTTCGAGAATACCAATGTGATGAGACAATGGCGAGAACACGTCATCCTTAGGAAGTGATCCCAAGTACACAATATATGTCTTTCTATGAGAAACTCAAGCCACAAATCAATGAATAAATATTCCATTTCAATTCCATTTTAATTAGAATCACATATGAACAAACTTATCTGAATTGGAGCTGTACGAATTCACGCTCATCCAAATCATAAGGTAGGCTGCCAACATGATCTGTGTAATTTGTTATGATATTATTTCCTTATATCCGAAATTGCATCGTTCCGGCAAAAATGGTCGGATTGATTTAAACATATGTACTCTCCCTATATATGCATACAAGTTCAAATTTCGCGCCCCAACATTCCCCGCTTCTATACATGCAATTATTTTTTCACTGGCAACCTTAAACATTGAAATTTAATCAAAGGGTTAATCTCAGTTTACTACCCTAAAGTTTCTTGGTTTTCAACATTTAGTACATGAAGTTGTTTTCGTCCCAATTTGATACCTTAAGTCATAATTATAAGACACTTTCATACATCTGTTGAGTTTTCCGTCAGAACCTTCGTTAGCTGATGATGTGGCACCCGCGTGGACAGTGATTGGGACGCCACGTATCATTATGGGCCCATGTAAATATTAAAAAATTGAAAAAAAAATTAAATTGTTTTCGTCCCAATTTGATTAGGCCGCCATGTGTCATTATGGGCCCATGTAAATATTATCAGGCCCAAAAACATTTTTTTTTTTTAAATTTTGGCTACTCCTCACCCCCACGACCCCTTCCTCCCTCCCTTATCTCCTTTCTCTCCTCTGCACCCACCTCTACTACCTCACCTTACCCCTCACGTTAATCTCCTACCTCACCCCACCCTTCCCGGCAACCAATTGAGCAAATGCTTACTCGATGGTGCATCCCCAATTTGCTCAAAATTCGGGATCAATTTTCGTTGCTTGATCACTAGAAATCGAGGCAACGGCTGTGCAAACGGGATCTCCTCAGCCGAACCTACATACTCCACAATGCCTCTTACAATCCCGAACTCTGCAAGACAATGACCCATCTCTGCCGCACCCAAAAACCCTTGCGATGACTCCAAATCCTCCAGCACCCTAATAATATCAAACATATTGGACTTGGTTCTTCCCGCCAAATTGGCGTAAAAACTCGACATCTTCCCTAAGTCACAGAGGTATCGGATGGCAATGTTGGCCATGGCGTCCATCATAGACTCTTTGAAGCTCTGAAACCCAAAGCTCTCGCATATCTATGCAACTGCAACTGTCGACACTGCCCGACCAAACTCATTGGCTCCTCCTCCAGCTGCTCTCCTCAGCACATCACTATTGGGTTGATTCCTGTTTCTGCTACTGTCTACATCTCCATGGCTCATATTCAAACCCTCACATCACTCAGCTTTTTCTTCAGCTCTCATATTAATTGACCCGTGAGCGCATTCCGGCAAGAACCCACAATTTCCCCTCCTTTTCCCTCGTTTTCTCGACGGTCAAACAGAAACATATAAACAGTGTTCTAAAAAACACCCTACGCAGCGGCCTAGGCAGTGCCTTGGAACCGAGGCGATTTTGTGCAAAACAGCTGGAAAAATCGGGGTGGTTCTAAGCGGCCGCCTATGCGGCTAGGTGGGTTTTTTTTTTTTTTTTTTTGTGAAATTTATTTAAGTCTAAGTTCTAATTATACCTTGAAAATTTGTTAATTTTATAGAATAGGTGTCTTGTGTATCAACTTAAATTCCGATATGCTAAAGATAAGTAGCTTACATTACTAAATTCCCTTATTTTCCTCCTATTTTCCATTTTATGTTGTTTTAAATTGTGAACTTGTTGTACATGTGTCATCTTACAATACTCCTCACTATGGTTATATGGCATATATGCTTAATGTGTTTTTAAATTTTGGACTTGTTGGATACCCTTTTTGCATTTGATCATTCTTTTATTATATTATTCATGAATTTCATACAAGTATAATTTTTTGTAAGTGTCAATATGCACTATTTACAAGATATACAAGAAATTTACCTAAATCCGCCTAGGCGCTAGGCGCTAGCCCGCCGCCTGACTAGCGCCTAACACTTTTTAGAACCTTGCATATAAAGGGGGAAAGAAAAATCAAGTTGGGCACTCAGAAACCCTAGAAAAAACCCAGAACGCAAAACTCAAAGATATTAAAAAATTGAATAGGAGAGGTGGGTGTGCGGAGAGGGTGGGTGCAGAGGAGAGAAATGAGAGAAGGGAAGGAGGAAGGGGGTTGTGGGTGTAAGTAGCAGCCTAGAAAAAAATTATAAAAAAAAAACAGTTTTTGGGCCTAATAGCTAGGGTTAGAAGATGAGATAAAAAAAAAAGGAAGTTTTAACGAAAAGCTCACGGTACTGTTCACTTTAACGAAAAACCATATTTTTACACTAAAAAGTCAATCCTGGTACTATTCACTTACCCTTTATTTTATCCTTATCATTAAAACTCAAAGTTTTCAAGCCATTTTTCATTAGTTTTCTTATTAAAAAAAATTAGATTTTTTTTTAATTTTTTATATTTACATGGGCCCATAATGACACGTGACACCCAGTAATTGTCCACGTGGATGTCACGTCATCAGTTAACGGAGGTTCTGACGGAAAACTTAACGGATGTATAAAAGTGTTTCATAATTATAACTTTAGGTACCAAACTGGGACAAAAAAAACTTCATGTACCAAATGTTGAAAACCAAGAAACTTCAGAGAAGTAAACTAAGATTAACCCTTAATCCAAAGACGCATAACCCCTTACCTGCGAAACTTAACCCCCTGCCCTATATCAACGCCATTGCACATGATCCTTAGTTTTGAAAATAAACAAATGCTTTTCTTAATTTGTATAATCATTTTGCAGTGAATCACCACATTTTTTACATAAGATTTGATATATGAAATTTGGCACGACATATAACTTGATTTATCAAATATTTAAACAAGTTATTATTATAGATTATCATTGATATGCCCATATATTAACCATAAATGACTCGATTGCATAAGGGATGAAATGATATTGCCGTAAAATCAACAGATGCAACGAAAATAATAGAAAGGTCAATGTATGGGGTGTGTTTAGACCCAAACTAGACATTGGGCCTGGAGCGCAGCCTAAGCCTATGTGAAGCCCCAGGAAGGCACTAGACTTTTGAAGCAAGGAAAGCTGAAGACGGAAACTCAGCCCAATCAAGATATTAAGCAATGTGACAAGATTGGGCGGCAAACCTATGCAACTGGACATGCATAGGGCTTATTACGATAGGTTTTGTAGAGGGCAAAAACACATTTTTAAGGCTAAAACCTTGTAATTTCAAGGAGGTTGAGTGTGAAATCACCACTTGTCTGTCATATCAAGCAGGGGGACTTAACTTAGAAGGAATGAGGTTGCTATAAAAGCTACAAAAGAACATGAAGAAAAGGACACTCAACTCATCTCTCAGAAAAACACTTAAAAGCTTTGTTATTTCCTTTACATTCTATTTGCACCCCCATCCATTCACTTTAGTTATAACTTTGTTGTAGCCTTCCCGCATTATCGATTTAAATTGTAGTCATTATCGAACTCTTTTCCATCCCAAAGATTACCCATATTCTTTAAATTTGTATGAGTGCCCAAGAGGCAGGGACTTGAGCCCAATGACTTTTAGAATGTGTCTAAACTCATTTGTTTACTTTCTATTTCATAGTAGAATGATTTTGAAAATTTTTGGTGTTTTTATTCCCTAACTGTAATCACTTAGCTTTAGCATCTGATTTCCTGATTCCTTAGGGATTGATGAGTTGTTTAGAAGTACCGTTCTAAAAATCCCCCCTAGGGCCTAGGTGCCAGGTTGTTGGCCGCCGCTTCAATTAATCCCTAGGTGTTTGAAAATCTTGAAAACGCGTCTAGACCTGCTTAGGCGCCTGCCTAGCACGCCTAGATCAGCATAGGCACCCGCCTATGTCACGATTCTCACGTATACAGAAAATAGATAACTTTCCTTTTGCAATTTATTTTTTCAATAAAATGAAAGAGAATTGTTGAATACTCAAAGAAACACTTATTATATGTTTGTTCCTCTTGTTTTCAATATGTTTTAATACTATATAATTTATATGCTATTTTATTTGCAATCTATGTGTTCTTTGAAGTATAAATAGATATTTATTTATACGATATATAATAAATCTACTTAAATCCGCCTAGGCGCTAGGCCCCAGTCCACCGACCGACTAACACCTAGTATCTTTTAGAACCTTGTTTAGAAGTACTCTTTTCCTCCTCAGATGTTAAGGTTTAGGGTTGACAACCATTCTTTTAGATTTAGCATCAACCAAGTTATCCTGCAAGTTTCTTAATTTCAAAGTAATGTTCTAAACACTTGTTTGTTCCAAACACTAATCAAATGCTTAAATGTACCAGCACAAACTCTGAATTGATCATTAGGATTGCTATCAAATGACAGACCAAAGCCTTTTTAACCGTATCTTGAAACTTAGAGTGTTGAAGCCACATAGCCTCAAACTTAAAAAGTGAACCTTCTTTTAGGGCAAGTTTTATACAAGGTTAAGCAAATAAGGTTGTGATCCGATCCAAAAATAGGGAGGTTATGCAAATTAAAATTAGGAAATAATTTAACCAACTAGGATTAGCAAGAGATCTATCAAGTCTTTCAAAGATCACAATATGATTCTTATGACAATTAGACCAAGTAAAAGGGACATCAGAAGCATGCAAAGGAATAGAATTTTCATCTCTAAAAAAATTTGAAAAATCAATCATATAATTTGTTCACACTTTGAGTTCTGCCAATCTTTTCCTCTAAAGAAAATATTGCATTGAAGTCACCAATTAGCATCCAAGTTTGTCAATGGGAGTAAAAAAAGAATTCAAGCCACGATTGTAGTTATTTTAGTGGGTAAGAATAAACAAAAGTATCATACTGTTGTAAACAATGAGATTGTATGCCCACATGCCAATAGTATGTCTATCATAGGCCTAATAGTGTAGTTTTGTAAGCTTTCAATGAAGTTGCTCTATATATAGAGCACTACGAGTGATCAAAACACACAGTAAGAAAAGAAAAGTTGGAATAATATAAGTACCCTTCCATTTCTCTTTCATCTGCAATCATTTTGTGTTATAGTTACGAAACAAAATATGTGTGATATATTGCACCCGTTTCACCCTTGCACTTAGCAAAAGTTATTTCTCTAACTTTTGCCTATTTATAACACGTTATCAGCACGACTATCTAACCATTTCTCATTTCCCTTCGCTGAAAGAAAAAAAAATGTTACCTCCAAGGATTTTACTATTCTTCTTCTTCATCTGCCTCACCTGCTGGATATACCCTCACGAAGAACTGCTAGCTCCATGCCTGCTTTTAGTTCTCAACATAACAATTACTTATATCTTTGATTTCTTGTTTGGTGTAGTTCTTAATTACTAACCCAGTATTTATTTATGTTAATTTTATTGTGATTGAAGATGGTGCGGTATCATCGCCCATCTTGAATTGCAAATTTAATTTTATTGCAATTTTAGGTGGTGTGGTATAATCGCCCACCCTGCCTTGCATATTTAATTTTTTCTATTGCTTGAGTGTTGCGGAATAATCTCTCATCTTATGTTATTTTATTTCAATGAGAGGTGTTGTACAATCGCCCTCCTCATTAATCATTTAAATCTCGATCTTGAAGTTTCAAGTGCTTATCATTTTGACCTGAAGATCAAAATGAAAAATTTGTAAGAACCAAAAGTTTTAACAATATATTCCTCCAGAATACGTATTATTGCAAGTTCTTACATACCTCATTTTTCTTTCAGAAAAGAAAATGGCGAACTTGGCAAAACTTGATTTTGTTGCCCAGGATATTATTGAGAAGAACTACTTTACCTGGGTAATGGATGCCAAGATCCATCTGGAGGTAGGAAATCTTGGAGAAACCATAAAGGAGGATAACAGTGCATCCTCTCAAGATCGGGCATAGGCCATGATCTTTATCCGTTGCCACCTTGATGAAGGACTGAATAGCGAGTACCTCACGATTAAAGATCCATTAATTCTCTGGAAGGCACTGAAAAATAGATACAATCACCAGAAAATGGTTATTCTTCTAAGGGCTCATTATGAGTGGACTCACCTAAGGATCCAGGATTTCAAGACAATTGCTGAGTACAATTCTGCAATGTTCAGAATTAGCTCCCAGTTGAAGCTCTGTGGAGAAGCAATCATTGAAAAAGATATGCTAGTAAAAATTTTCAGCACCTTTTATGCCTCCAACGTGCTTCTGCAGCAACAGTATAGAGAAAGAGCCTTTATTGAGTACAACCAGCCGATATCTGTACTCCTTTTAGTTGAACAAAATAATGAGCTTTTAATGAAGAATCATCAGTCCCGACCTACTGGATCAGCACCATTACCAGAAATGAATGATGTTTGCCTTGATGGGAATACCACATCCTCTCGTGGCAATAATTACAAACGAGGACGTGGCCACAAGCGAGGCTGCTGGAACGGGAAAGGCAAGAACGATAGTGTCTAGTTTCACAACCAGGCTCCAAGGCATAATTCAAGCCCGAGCTTCAAGAATGCAAATCACCAGAAAAGCATAGCTCATATGAACACTCCTAGAAATCCTGAAGAAGTTTGCTACAGGTGTGGTGGCAATGGGCACTAGGCGTGTACCTGTTGTTAGTGTTCTAAAAAACGCCCTAGGCGGCCGCCTAAGCGCCTTGGAACCAAGGCGATTTTGTGCAAAATGGCTAGAAAAAACGGGGTGGCTCTAGGCTGTGCTAGGCAGCTAAGTGGTATTTTTTTTTTTTTTTTTTTTTTGTGAAATTTGTTTAAAGTCTAAGTTCTAATTATATCTTGAAATTTTGTTAATTTTATAGAATATATGTGTTATGTATCAACTTAAATTCCAAGATGCTAAAGATAAGTATCTTACATTACTAAATTTCCTTATTTTCCTCTTATTTTCCATTTTATGTTGTTTTAAATTGTGAACTTGTTGTACATGTGTCATCCTACAATACTCCTCACTATGGTTATATGACATATATGCTTAATGTCTTTTTTTTTAATTTTGGACTTGTTGGATACTCTTTTTGCATTTTAACATTCTTTTATTATCTTATCCATGAATTTCATACAAGTATAATTTTTTTGTAAGTGTCAATATGCACTTGTTTACAAGATATACAAGAAATTTACCTAAATCCTCCTCGGCGCTAAGCGCTAGCCCGCTGCCCGACTAGCACCTAGCATTTTTTAGAACCTTGCTAATGTAAGACAAGCTTTGAATAAATTTAATTGATGACTTCACTTGGGGCACCCATTTGTGACACGCCCCGATCCCAATATTCCCCGGATACCAGGATAGGCACGCGCTGGCCGACATCCGAGGGTGACGAAAGCCATTTATTGTACAAATGTTGAAAACAAGGGGTAGATAAGACTTATAAATATAAATAATAATGAATATGCAATTAAGGAACGTGTTCAGAGTATACAACTAACTAGAACACTAAAGGAAATAATATAAAATTGAATGAAACAAATGATGGATCCTACACTGAGAGAACTTGAAGATGTCGATGTAGAAATGCCTGGACGCCGGGATTGTATGCCTCAATTCTAAGTTTTGAAGGGGGCGCAAAACAAACATGAGTGAACCAAGTTGAACATACATATATTGAAAAACAACTACATAGTATAAAGTCATCCATCATCTATACTATAAAGAGGTGTTCTAAATATGTTCTAAATATCATATCGTCAACCATCAGATATTCTATAAGAACACAGGTTATAGGAAAATAGTAATAGTTCAAACTTGCCTCAATAAGCATGTTATCTCATAAAACATAGTCAGCAAATCATGCTTTTCATGTATGCATTTCGACTATCAAAACATGCATTTTTAGAAGGTGTCTACTCATAATACTTAGCTGTCAAAGAGTCACGCAACTAGCGAAGACGGAAACGCCACAATTAATTGCCCCTAAGCACATAAAGGGTACATTTAGTCAAACTCTACTCAAACTATTGAATTTGGAAAAAAGGACATTGAAAACGGGTTCAGGATGTCGAAATTAGCCTAGAAGAGGTCCCGCACGAAACTCGACAAGTCAACGTTGACCTTTGACTAGTTAAAGTTAACGTAGACCTTTGACTATTCAAAGTCAACGTCAACGGGTTCGGGTCGATCAACGGGTGAGGTTAACCCAAGTCAAAGGTCAACCGGGTTTGGGCTTAGAATAAAGGGTTTAGGTTAGGGGATTAGGCCCTAGGATAATTGGTTAATAGGTTTAGGCTAAAGGCTAAGGGGTTTAGGTTTGAAACTGGGTTGGGATCATAGGCCGCCCCAAAGGCCCCTAGGAAATTAAAATGGGAAGTTGGGTTTGGGTTTAGGGCCTTCATAGGTAAGGCCCAAGGCCTTTAATTTAACACACCAAGAATAAAAACAAAAGAAAATAAGGGTTGGGTTAGTTTTCAACGGGTCAAAGACCCTAATTTTTTTTGCCCAAGGGCCTGGTTCGAAGGGGTTTTGGGGCTTGAAAGCCCGGCCTAAGTTCCAATTGTGGGTCGCCAGACCCATTCGAAAGAGAAGGTCGGAATTTGGCCGGAAATTAGACAAACTTTAAACGCTCATAACTTTGTCAATACTCAACGAAATCAAGTGATTCAAAAATGAAAATCGTAGCTCTCGAAGAGATGAAGAGAACACAAGACGTTTAACTGGCCGTGGTTTGGCCAGAAAACGCCTCAAAAGCCTCAAAGGTCGTCGGAAACTGGGTAAGATTCAAATGTATATAACTTCTTCAATACTCAATGAAATTGGGTGAAATAAAAAAGGAAAGTTATAGTACTCAGTGAGATGAAGAGATTGCTACCTTGCATGCCAGCCAACTCGCAGTGGTTTGGCTGGAAAGTGTCTCGAAAAGGGCAGTGCTCCTCACCAAAAAATCTGGAAAACGTTTTCCCGAGTTACTTTGGTGTTTAAACTTTACCACAACAACTCAAATACTATCTAACACAATCACAAGCATGATCTAAGGAGATTTAGGTGTGCTCTGCACTTACCTCGTCGGAGATCTCATGCATAGTGATTGTGCATAGTGCCGAGATAGATATTAAAGGTGAGGGAAAGAAAAGTGAAGCTCAGATGATGAAGATGATGGTGAAGTCCTCCTGATGGCTGTGTGTATGTATGTTTGGGTGTGTGTCTGCATGTTCTTGTAGGAGAGAAGAGCGCCGAGAGTGGGGAGTAACAGAGGGAGAAAGAACAGGTAAAGAAGAAAGAGTGAGGGAGAAGAGAGAGACTTTTTAGAAAAAATAAAAGAAAAGGGAAAAGGAACCAGGGGACAAACAAATCAGGGGTGGGCCCCTTGGTGAAAAATACAAAAATACCCTTTTTGTTCTGTAAATCCTCGGACGGGTTGTTACAATCTGGATTGTAACATCTCACATCGCCCAGGGGAATGGATTTTGTAAGCTCACTGGCTTCGGAGTTCCGATGAACTCCGAAGTTAAGCGAGTTCGGGACAAGAGCATTCCCATGATGGGTGACCTACTGGATGTTCTCGTGTGAGTTCTCAGAAATAAAACCGTGAGGGTGTGATCGGGGCCCAAAGCAGGCAATATCGTGGTATGGTAGAGTCGAGCTTGGGATGTGGTGGGGGCCCGGACCGAGATGTGACAATTTGCATGGTCATGGTGTAGTCAAGTGAGCGGGACATCGTTTTTTTTTTTTTTTTTTTTTTTTTTTTTTTAAACCTTAGACTAAAATATAATAATTTTTTTATATGCCCAATGAAACTCAACTTCAATCTCATTTTCTGTTCGGAACAAAATCGCGTAATTTTGCATTCTGAAACTTAAGATTTGTTCTAGATTCCTGAGATTCTATTGATTTTCTAAAATGAGATAGAATGTGTTTACATGGAAGGGTAAAAAGATAATTTTGAGTTTCATAGTATAATTCTGTAAAAAAGAAACTTATAAATGCTAGTTATAATAAAATTACCATTTTACCCTTTCACATCAATACATTCATCTCTTTTTTAACATTGACAAATTCCCATTTGCATTTCAACTAACTTGTCCTCCTACCTCATCAACTATAATAAGTAGACTGATAGTTCATAAATTTATAACCAACTAAAAAACAACAAATAATCTACAATTTTTTTATGAACTAAGATTATCTCTCATCCTCTTTCCATCTCCTTCCATCCCCTATTCTTACATTTTCCATTTTGTCTTTCTCTTTGTATAAAAAATTAATATAAGATGTTGACGTATCTTAACTGTGACCGTTCAAATAGAAGGGGATGAAAGGGGAGAGAAAAAAAGAAGAGAGAGAATCGTACTCTTTTTTTTATTTCAAACAAATAATCTGCAATTAATATTGTCTTTAATTTACATAGAAGCAATGTTCTAAAACACGGTCTAGGCAGCCGCCTAGGTGCTAGGCGACGGTGCTCAGCCACAATTAACCCGAAATCATTTATTAAATCAGCAAGGACATTAAGCAGTGTAAGGCGGCTGCCTAGGTGAGCTCGGCGGACCCTAGGCGGTCTGGGAAAAAACTTCTATCATGAGACTCACAACCTTCTCTCGTTGTCTGCCTCTCTATTTGCTAAAAGAGAAGTCGAATATAGTGTGAGAGAGAGAAAGAGAGAGGTAGATGAGATTTTTTCAATCGCAAGGATGGGTGCTGGTCGTCTGCCTCTCTATTTGCTAGAAGAAGAGTCGAATATGGTGAGAAAGAGAGGTAAAAGAGATTTTTGCAATCGCAAGGATGGGTGATGGTGACGGATTGTTGAAGGTAAGTCTGCAATTGCAGAAATGGGTGAGGCGGCAGGTTGTAGAAGATAATTTGAAATTGCAGAAAGGTGCGACTGCTTTAGGGTTTTAAGCACTTAGTAACTTTAGCTAGCATTTGTTGCATAGCCAACCTTTTATTTTATTGAGAAGCCCAACAATATGGGCTTACAAAATGATAAAACTTTGGAACTTTACATGTATACCTATATATATTCTTTTTCTTTTTTCTTTTTTTTTTTAAATAACATAGTATCAATGTTTATTTATATATATTATGTGGTAAACTTAATTAATTTATATGATGTTTTACTTAAATATATCTAGTCCGCCTAGCCGCCTAGGCGCTAGGCCCTAGCTCACCATCTGACTAGCGTATAACGGTTTTTAAAACCTTGCTTGTTGTACCCCAAAACATCTGATGGATGTGTATCAAGCCTTCCTCAAAGAGAAGGGTGTTGAGGCCAATTTTCTCAACCAGGCTAAACCAATAGATATACCTGATCCAGTGTTCGATTGATCAAGACAATTGAACAAAACCTACCTGGATGTTTCGAACTTCATTATTGAAAGAGGGAATCCGACTGAATCATTTATGTTTAATGTACTCTTGCTATTTGTACTTGTAGTACAATGCTCGCATTTTCAATTCAATAAAAGTGGTATTCCAGTATGTATAAATTGTTTTTAACTATAATTTCATTACTCTTAGAG